GGCACTGGAGGTGGTGCTTTTCTACTTTAGCTGTGACTGCATAGCCCCAAATTAACATAAGCCAACCTCCAGGCAGCACTTGGAGATCTCCAGCTATTAAAACTGATGTCCAGATGACCAAGATCAATTCTCCTGGAGACAATGGCTGCTTTGGGCAGTGGATTCTATAGCCTTATACCCCGCTGAGGTCCCTCCCCACCCAAAATCCTGCCCTCCCCAGGCTCTACCCCTCAAATCTACAGGTATTTCCCAACCCAGAGTTGGCAACCGTGTAATCAGCTATGGAACTACTTTCCAAACCCTTGGAACCCAGAAAACATGACACAGGAGAAGGTGCTTTTCTTCCTTAGCTGCCAGTGCATAACACCCCCCTCCCCCTCAAAAAATAAGTCAGAGGTGGAGAGAACCATATCTGTTACCATGAGGCTGTCCTCCCATTCTATCCACTTGGGGCAGCAAAATGACTTGAGACAGTCCTGCCTTATAGCTAAGCAGAAGGAAAGAAACATGGCCTGCCTCCCTCCATTTTCCGCTTCCCTCTGCCACCCCACCAGCCACAGTCGGGACACTCGTCTGGAGCTTCCTTCTAGATCTCGTTGTATTTCTTCCCACAACGGGCATTACTCCTAGTACGTATTATAATGTGACTCTCTAAGGGTGGAATAGACAAAACTAACAAGTTCATATTTCTGTATTTGATACATGATTTGTCAGAATTAGTTAGCCTAGACCAGCAGTCCTCAACCTTTTCTGTATAGTGACCCACATGTCCAAATTTACTTGGTATAATGACCTGTCCAGGGCTGGCTCAAGTTTTTTTTAGCACCCTAGCAATCTATGACCTTGGCACCCATCTAATTCAGCATTCCATTTTCTACAGTGGCTAACCAGATGCTTTTGGGAAACCAACAAACATGGCACAAAGGGTGCAGCTGCCCCCACTATAAACAGAAGCAAGTGGCATTCCAACATATGAAAGCTACATTCCAACCTTTGACCACCCTCTTCTTCTCCATTACTTCCCCTAATCCCCCCATAAATTCTAAGAAACTGACTCAAGTAACCATCAGGTTTTACTTGATCAGCATGTATACAGTAAAGAAAAAATACAAACTAACATATGACATGGAAGATACTGTTTTTCTTGGTTTCCAAAAGAGAGAGAGAAGGAGAGAGCAATGGAAAGGGCAGAAGGAGCCATTGGGGAAGGCTGGCTCACAACCCACTTTCAGAGGCTTCGCAACCCACTTTTGGATCCCAACCCACAGGTGGGGAAACACTGGTCTAGCCTGAAATTTAAATGAAAATTAAAATTAAATGAAATTTCAGTTAAATTCTCCAAGAGCCTGAAGTCAGTCTGCAACTAAGTGATTCAGGTGGGTAGCCATGTTGGTCTGAAGCAATACTCAAGCTCTGTTCTGCAACTGAGTGTTTCAGTCAGGTCTGGGAGTCGCAGCATTTAACAGCTGTTCTATTCCCTGCAATAGCATGCTGCACCCAGCTTCGAAAGAAGCTTGCTTAATGAATGGATTTATGAATTAATAGCAAAATAGTTGCTACTGCAAACCAATGCTAAGCATTACTATCATAGCCCATTGTGGGCATGATGTTAACAGAGCATACACAATACCTAGTCGTGAAGAGATGGACTCGACCGTGTGACTGGACAACAACAAAGTTGCTCTTCACTGAGTGATGCATCGCAAATAAATAAAAATCTTGAGCTCTTCATTCACATAAAGCAATCACTTCCGCTATATCAAATGCTGTATAATTGTCCTCACCTTCGTTTAGTAGCAGCCCAGTCCTTAAATTTGTATCCAGGTAATTCCATCCAATCTCCAAAACTGATGGTCAGCATAGAGCCTTCCATAGACTGGAAAACAAAATTATTTCAAAACAATATATTCCAAGAGTTTACTTATTGTCACATAAATCCACATAGTCTATAAAAGAATTAAATCACTAGCATTGACTTCAAAATTACAACTTGGGGGGGAAAATAGTTTCATACATCACTGAGGGCCAGTCTACACACTTACATTACATGCATTGACAAGATGCTTCCACACAGAGACTCTCCCAACCACAACTACAATGTATAAACATAGATTTCCATGAAGATCTTCCAAAGCAAACAACATCATCTGCTCTTGGTGTAGTCATAAGTAGACTTACACTAAGTCCATTGAAGTCAAAGTGCAAAAAAGTGTTAACACTGTAATTTAGGATTGCACTGAAAGTCATGCAAAGGATCCATGCAGCAACTACACTAGACATCACAGCCAGAGAGAAAAATTGCTTTCTGCCAGAAATATATAGTATGATTTAGTCAGCATTGGCTCTCTCTCTATGGCACTTAAGCAGTTAGCCTTACACTGTTCATTCTGCAAACTAATCATACCCAGTATAATATTTATTTCTATTAATTCCCTCAGCTGATTGCAAGATAAAAGTAGTTTCTGGAAATGGAGTATTTCAGAATCCAGTTGTGGATTTTGCTAAAATACACTGCTATGTTCCCACCATATAATTATTAACATTTTCAGGGTATGCCTAAGAGTTACTTCATTTACACTGCCATCCTATACAGAGTTATTCTCATATAGTAAAAATGAACAGAATCTGAAGCAATCTGTAGCTTTCCCTCTTTCTACTACACTTATAAAAAACAAAGTTAAAATGAGTTAAAAATGATGCATGTTACAATGTTACAGCAGTAAAATAAGTTAGACTTGATAAGCAAGTTCAGTATTGCATTTATTTCAGTTTTCTCCCAATTTTTATTTTTTTTCCCAAATAAAGGAAAAAGAAAAAAAATAGGTTATCTCATTGCTTCAAAACTTGCAGAAATTTAATATGTCTATTTAGAGTGGAGTAACTGCATAGGTTTGTGCTGTTGGAAGCACAACACATATTTTCCACAAGTGTATACAAGTAATAACGTACATCTATTTCCCCAAAAAAGTACAAAAGTGAATGCAAAAACTATAAAGCGGCTGTTTAAAACTGCCCAGTACTATTTACTGCCTTGTTCTCTCTACACAATATAGCCTAATCTTCGACGTGGTCTTTGTGCTTCACACCAATGGGATCTAGTGCGCACGCGCTGGATCGATCGGTGCTGTAGCAAGCTGTTTTAACGGATTTTCGTGCCCAGTCCCTCAGGCATGCGCAGGAACCCCACCGCGCATGCCCAGAGGGGTGGGCGCGGACATCCCACCAGTTCCTTTTTTACCGCCGCGTTGGAAAGACCTTTTTCTTTGTCGGTCTGATCGGTTCGCTGTTTGCATTTGCCTCACAGCTCTTAGGAATTATTTCCTTTCTTTATTTTATCTTTTTTAGTGATTTGTTCTTTAAAAACTTTTTTAAAAACCCAAACCTTTATTTTTCTTCTGAGGGGAATTTACCTCAGGCCTTCGGGCCACCCCTCCCCCAATCAACCGTTCCCTCCACTTCTTATGGAGAAGAAGTGGGGATTTTTCAATAGATGCAAACGTTGTGGTAGCAAGCTTACTCCTCCCGACCGTCATACCCTCTGCATCTTTTGCCTTGGAGAGTCTCACAAGGCAGAGTTGTGTCGTCACTGTGCTCTCTTCTCTAACCAAACGAGAAAGAACCATGCTTCGCACCTTAGAGTGGCGCTGCTTGAATCGGCCCTTGCTCCTGCCTCAGCAATGGAGGAAGGACCGTCTACATTGACAGCTCTGGCAATGAGACCTGCCTCCGATGTCGACCACCCAACACCGAAGCCCTCAACATCGAAGACACGATCGTCCGCCTCTACGCCACTCAAAAAAAAGGCGAAGGCAAGTACAGAGCATAAGTTCGCGAAGAAGGGCACCTCCAAGTCCCTTAAGGCGACGAATAAGGGGAAGGAAGCGGTGCCTGCACTGGGTGATGCCCCTATAGTGCCTCCCGCTCCAACGGGAGTATCGATATCGGAGTCCCAAGTCCCACCACCGATACCGACCATCCACGTATTGGACTCCCCTGTCCACCAAATGGAGTCTCCTTCTCCGTCGTCAACATCGGCGGTATCGGAAGCTCCCAACATCGATCCACGTCGGCACCGATATACCTCATGTGATACGCAGCGTCACCCTCCACGTCTGCACACTCAACCTGTCGATATCGACAGCTGACATTACAGGGACAATTCTCACAGACAAGCTACTGCCTTGTCTCCCAGACGTCCACGGTCAAGAAGCCGCTCCCCCAGAGTCTTCCTACCTCCCCCACCACCAATGTCGTGGGATCGACAGTTGAGGTACCTCTACGGGGCTTATCCACCGTCCATGCCGTGGTTGACTCCAGCGGGCTACTCTGATTGGGATCGCTATTCGACCCACTCCGCTCATAGGTCAAGATCCCCCCACAAGTCAAGACCTTCAGCATCTCTATCGTGTCCTCCTGTAGTCAATCCGTCCCACTATACTCTGGAACCAAGTCGTCCTGTCAATCCTCCGGTCACTCCAAACCCTGTTGTTCCTGTCGTCCAACCGAAACCAGTACCTTCTCAACAGGACACTTCGGTCCACATACCACAACAAGACTCCTCTGATTTCATGGAAGAGGACTCGGATACAGAGGCTTCTGATGCTCATACCTCTCCAGACCATGCATCTCGGAACAAAGATGTTGCGGAGGACTTACCTGTATCTCCATCGGACAACCTTACCGCCTACACTGATCTAGTCAAAAGAATGGCCCACTCTTTAGGTCTCTCTGTCGTCCAGCAACATCCACAGGCAACAGATTCTGTTTACGACATAGTTCAGCTCGATACCTCGTCCACCTTGGCATGCCCATGTCCTCAGTGCTACTGCAGGCAGCAAAATCACCATGGCTAAAGCCTTCGTCTGCTCCTGTGTCCACAAGGAAATTGGATCACATGTACAGAGTCCAAGAGTCGGATGCCGAATTCCTCTTCTCTCACCCACAACCAAATTCAATGGTGATAACATCCTCCTCCAAATCTAAAAGGACGCATTCCGCTCCTTTGGATAAGGAGGGCAAGAAATTGAATGCCTTCGGCAGGCGTTTCTACTCTACAGGAGCGTTAGCAGTCAAGGTCTCTAACTACCTGGCCTGTATGAATCGATATCAGTATACTCTCTGGGAACGGTTCTCTGAACTTCTTACCCATCTCCCAGACGACAAACTTCAGGCGGCCAGAGTCATCCAAAAAGAAGGCATGGTGTTAGCAAAACAACAGCTCAACAGTACCAAACATGTCCTCGAGGCATCTTCACGAACTATGGCTTCTGCAATAGCTCTCAGAAGACATTCCTGGCTCCGCAACACTAACCTCCCATTAGGTTTTGTTCTTCACTTGGAGATGACGCCCCTCGAGCCACCTCTGTGGGTCTCGAACGAGTCTTCCAATTCCTCCTCACCCTAGATGACTCGGGACTTTCCCATTCATCGTTACGAATTTATTTGGCCACTCTTTCAGCCTACCATGTTCCAGTTGACGGATGCACTTTGTTTTCTCATCCGATTTCCAAACGTTTTTTAAAAGGTTTGTTACACCTCTATCCTCCTGTCAAGGCTCCAGTTGTTCCTTGGAACCTTCCCCTCGTTCTCCGCCAGCTTACGCGTAAGCCATCTGAGCCGCTTGCAACATGCGATCTCAAACTCCTGGCATGGAAAACAGCCTTTTTATAAATGCCATTACCTCGGCTAGGCGAGTGGGAGAACTGTTGGCCTTCCGCCATGATACCCCTTTCCTGTCATTCCTGCCAGACAGAGTCCGCCTCGTCCCAGACATCTCCTTCCTGCCGAAGATGGTGTTAGAGTTCCACCTGCAGGCGGAGGTCTTCCTCCCTAACTTCTTCTCAAATCCAACATCAGCGGAAGAAAAGTTATTGCACACTTTAGACATGAAGCGCGCTCTCCTGTTTTACGTCAACAGAACACTCCCAACTAGACGAGACTCACAACTATTTGTCTCGTACGCTCCGGCACAGCTGGGTACTCACATCACAGCTCAACGCATGTCGAAGTGGATTGTAGGTCTGATCCATCTATGTTACCAGATCGCCAAACAGCCATTGCCTGGCCCGATCAGGGCTCATTCTACCAGGGCTGTCACGACTTCCACTGCTTTCCTTCAGGGAGTACCACTGCTGGACATTTGCAAACCCGCTACCTGGGCCACGCCTAACACCTTCATCAGGCACTACGCCCTAGACGTCTGAAAGAACTCTAATACCCACATGGGACATCGCATTTTATCTTCGGCTATGCAGTAATAGTCCTGCCAGCACCCTCCTCCAGGTAGGCTACTACTCGCTAATCTCCCATTGGTGTGAAGCACAGAGACCATGTCAAAGATAAACAGGTTGCTTACCAGTAACTGGTGATCTTCGAGTGGTCATCTGTGCATTCACACCACCCGCCCTCCTTCCCCGCTGCTGTCAGCTTCTACATTTTGAATAGGGGTTGATTTGCGGCGGTTTGTAGGAACTGGCGGGATGTCCGCGCCCACCCCTCTGGGCATGCACGGCGGGGTTCCTGCACATGCCCGAGGGACTGGGCGCAAAAATCCATTAAAAGAGCTTGCTACAGCACCGATCAATCCAGCGCGTGCGCACTAGATCCCATTGGTGTGAATGCACAGATGACCACTCGAAGATCACCAGTTACTGGTATAATTGCACGGATGCCACTCGGAAGTACACCAGTTACTGGTAAGCAACCTGTTTTTTCTCCTGAAATGGGACACTGTAGGAGTCACAACAATACAAACCAAAGCTTTCCTCACATGCCAAGCCCCACCAGGTGGTCCTTTGCCAAGGACCATATGAGGAACATAATGCTGCTCTTCTAGCTCCCAGTGAAGAACAGATGGGTAGTCAAATCCAAAGTCAGCATCTGGATGAAGCAGTGTGTCAAAGAGTACTGCAACAGGATTTGAAGAGCGTCCTTCTAGGCCTTCAGACAAGTATTCTAACTCCTAGGTTGAAAAAGAAAAATTAATTGGAAATTATTAGCGTAAAAATTAATGTGTTTTACTAAAAGAGCTGTAGCTTCTGTTGCCCATTTCACTCCTCTGTTCACCAAGTATGATACTCCAGTCATAAGATTCCTGAAGCCTCAGCACTCACTTTGTTCTCTTACCACGAGCTCTCCTCATGTCCTTTTAATCAAAAGCCAGGATGACTACTTAAAGCCACCTTGTTCACCTGAGGCTCACTGAACAGGTATACAAGAACAAACAGTGCTTACCAATATCCTTGTTTTTCTCAGGTTTTCCTGTTCCGCTCATACTATGTGTTGGCTATATCCCCCCCCCCCGGTTCCTGGTTGCACTGGGTACAAATACATTCCATTAATCAGTGGGCTTAATAAATAACTTCAAGCCCAATCAGTATTCTTGACAAAAGCACGATTTCAGACATACTGTATATCAGAGATACATATGTGGGTCACATACCTGGTGAGCCCCTTATCAATAATTTTACAGGGTGGGATAATCTCTTATCGTACCTTCATTGTGGCTCAAGAGAGCTAAGACTGTATTTGGTAATAAATCCATCTGTGTATCACATAACATTGCAGATTCACCTAATGTAATGAACCCCACTTGTTTACAGTGTTTTAAAGGAAGATTAAACACATTCATGGTGGCTAAACTATTAACCATGATACCTAAAAATTGACCATCCATATGGATCACCAAGCTATGGGAATAAGTATCAAGAGTTTGTGAACTTTCCAGAAGTATTTTGTTTGCCATTGCCAGAGAGAGAGAGTTGAATCAGATGGACCTTAGGTTTCATCTATGTTCTTAATGTATGCAGGGTTTGTCACCTACAGGAACTGCCACTTAACCCCCCACAAGTCCTACTTTGTAGGTTACTGAAAAAATGGTGAAAATGAAACATCATGGCTCTTATTCACATGAAACTGCCTTATACTGAATCAGACCCTTGGTCCACCCACATCAGTATTGTCTACTCAGACTAGCATCGATTCTCCAGGGACTCGGGCAGAGGTCTTTCACATTACCTACTACCTGTTCCTTTTAACTGGAGATGCCAGGGACTGAACCTGGGACCTTTTGCATGTCAAGCAGATACTCTACCACAGAGGCACATCCCCTCATTAGACACTTAAATACAAAGGTTATTTCATGTTAAAGGTATGTTGTGCATTTTATGACCAGAAGTATCAGAAATTATTTCATAAACATTACGATAAAATATGTTTTGGGGTCTGGGGATTCCATGGGTGACTCTGGTAAGACAGGGCCCTCCAGGGTTCCTTTCCTCCCAACAAACTCCTTAACGGGCCTCAGGCAGTCACAGGAGGAGCAGGGTTCGGCCACACCCTAAGCCCATCTCCCTTGCGGGCTCCCAGAAAATCTCCAGTTGTCTCTAAACTGTGCCCATGTTCTTCCTCCCTGGCCTGTAACTTTCCAGCCTTTTAAAGTACCCACCAGGGTGGAGCCTTCTGGACTCACCAATCCCCCCTCCCTGGTGCCTAGGCTGGCAAGATTGGTACTCCCCACATCCATGGGATGCCAACCCCATGGCCCCTTTCCTCTCTCCTTGCCCCGCACTGCTGTCACCCCTGGGAATGCTTGCCTGACATTGTCCTAGGCTGGCACTGGGCTGGGGAGTTCCATCACTGTCACCGTGCCCTCCCCCGCCATGTGCCCTGAGGCCACTCACCACACCAGAGCAACCTGGCATTTTCCACCACTCAGGGATGGTCTTCCATCACCAGCCCTTCTTGTGGTAGGTATGGAGGAGGGGGAGTCACCCATGGACAATATTTTGCCTGTTTAAACGTATGTTAAGGAAATGAATAGAAGTTTAGAAGGACTCACCTGATCAACAAGAGAGAGATGCCTAGCTTCTTTTAGTTTACTATGCAAAATTGGATTTGGATGTACAGCTTCAGGAGACAAATAAGGCCTGTATCCAGACAACATGTAAGAGAGGCAAATTCCTGAAGGCCCATTACCTGTTTAAAAAATCATAACATGACTTATTAAAGCTTAAAGCTACCAAAACAATGGGCATGGTCAAGCTACAGTTATGCACTTCTAAATCCAACTGAATGTAAATGGGATAACTGAATCTGAGCTTCTATATCTCTCATGTACTTACTATTATTTGAATATGTAATAATAGTATTCCGTTTATTGCATGTAATTACTCCACTTGTATTTTAATTTCCAGCCTTACTGTTGACCTTTACACTACTGTTGTTAAACCCCAGGGTTTTTTTGGCGGGGCGAGTGTTTTTAAAATGGAAAGTGGAAGGAGGGGGCATTATTTTCCTAGGAAGCAAAAACATCACAGCTTTGTGTGCTGTAAGAAAAATACTGGTTGCGGCCACACTTCAGAACAGTATTTGCATAACATCATGCCACTGAAAGCTGATGAGAAGTCTGAGTTTGAAGCATACGGGCCCAATGGCAGGAAACTGTACTCTCCCCTTGCAAATATAGACCTTATCAGAACAATTTATACCACTTCCGCTTACAGTCTTTGGTGATCATCAAGGAAGACTAATTTGGAAACATCATCTGGTGTAAAGAACAGCTACACACTCCAGATGTCCAGTCCCTTTGTAGACTACACAAAGTCCTCCAGTTATATTTCAAAAGTATTTATTTCAGTACCAAATGATCTTAATAAGCCAGGGATCCCAATTATGTCTGGTTTCCAAACAAAAAATCAGAGCAATTTTTATTTACTCTCTGTGTTGCACAGTTTTATGGGCTATCTGCTGCAACATTCACTAAGAACTATAGCCCTTTTTCTACTAAAGAACAGAGTGTTCTATCACAGAAGCATTTTTGGAAGCAGAAAAATAGTCAAAATACTTTTACTGTCTGGGTACCAGCTCACAGAAGAATAAAGAATGTGTCCTGAATTTGAATAAATACCAAAGAGAGGCAGTTATCTGGAGATATATGGCACAGGTGTATCTGAATTTGATGATATCCATTTGTGTGTAGTATGCAGTTAGATCCCAAGCAGCCAGATTTGGCAAACGGGGGCACCAGCTGAAAATTCCTAATCTACTACTGAACATTTCCGCAATTACAGGGAACAATCTATTATAGTACAAAATATTTCAACAGTATTAATATACAACAGTTGACCATTATATAAAAATTTAATGACCATAGGGCAATGTTGGTGCTATTTAAGTAGGTTTAACATTTCAGAATTTTAACTATGTTAGTGCTGAAATTCTCTGAGAATAACTCACCTATTACTACCATTGGCAAAGTCAGTGGCACATCCACAGGCAGAGTAGTTTCTTCTAGTAGGGGCATTGTTTTAACATTTGTCCCAAGGCTGTCACCCAAATAGTGCACTAAGGAATTCAAAAATTGTCCGTCTGTTTCAGGATTACAGTAGTTTCTATTGAAAGGGGGGGAAACAGTTTAGTGTTATAACACATCCTTAATAAAATTAACTTAATATCATTGATTTGAGGATATATAAACAAGAAAAGTTCTGTTAGCATTAAGCCAAGTACATACTAACTGGTTTGTGCAGAACACCATTTTTTGTACATAGACAATACTAATTTGTTACCACTCGAGGGGAAAAAGAGTTTTTGAACATGTAAGTTCATGAGGATAGGAAAGTACATTTTCTGTGACATTCAGATTTTTTTCTTGTAAGGAATTGCCTTGTTCTCATTACTGTAATTAACAGTTCCAAGTATTTTATCATACATCTCTGATCTGACAGTTAGATGAAGGACTTGTTTGCTGAAGTAAAGAAACAATATTTATACATTTAAAGCCACATGAATTGAGTTCTTAAAAAGAGAAATTATCAGCAGGAACACTTTCTCAGAAACTTGCATACAGTTCTACAATTGATTCTTTCCTTACAGTCCAGGAATCTGCCAGGCTCCATGCTTACTGAATCCACATTCTAAATGATATTTAGGAGGCTATTTCTGATTAAACAGAGTTGCACTGTTTTAAGCTCATTGACTTCAATGGATTTAGAAGGGTATACCCCTGCTCAGAACTGCACCATAAACTGTGTTTGCATAATCCCAGAACCAGCACACATCAGCGCCAATCATTGCCATTGTCCTCTGGTACAATTTAGCCCAGTTGTTTGTCTCCTTGCCACTTCAAATCATACAGATATTCATTAAAACAGCCCACACTTATCTTGCACCAATGTGTACTAGCCTGCTTAGTACAAAAATAGATCACAGATTGGCTCTATGCCTGTCAGCTATTGGATGTTTAAAGAACATAAGCAAATATATTCATCTACTGGATTATAAACCCTTTTCAAGATGGACCCATACCTTGTTCTCCTGCCTACAGAACCCCCCCCCCCCAAGGATAAGATAACCTACAGACCTTGTGAAGCTTGTTAGAAAGTGAGATTTAACCAACACAAGAGGAAAGTGGCAACGCAATTGTGCACTACCAAAATGGCAATTATGATGTGATTTCCTGGTTTCCCTCTCACTTCCTTCCACATTGCACGTGTGTAGTTACCAAATACTTCAGGATATGCAACTCAGTCGAGGTTGTTTATGTTACTTAGCAAGCATTGCAATTAGTAGGCAGGATAGGAAAACAAAAAAACATTTTGTTCAAAAAGAAAGCAACATGAATAATCTCCAACAAACAATAGTGTATCATTGTGTCACACCACCACATGCTAATTTCAGTCCTATAACTCCCAAAGTACAACTTTATCTACTATCACCTAAGACTTATTTATCCTGTTTGTACAGATTATAGCAAGTTTTGTAAAGGGCAATATACACTGAACAGAAATTATTTAAAATATAAGCTTGTATAACAAGGATATCCAGCATTTTCTGTTAGGCGATGATACAACCAAGTCATATCTTGCCTGCCAGTGTACAAGTCACCTCTGTTTAGTGTGATGATTCCCACATGCAACACTATTAGTTTAGTTTCTCAAGACCATTCCATGAACAACATGCTATCAGGTGTAACCACAAAGAACTCCGGTGCAATCTTATGAAACAGTACAGTAAAATCCTTACATGACTAGTACTTAGTTACCCTTTTGATTTCCATTTCTATCTCATAAAGAAGGAAGCATTGCACAATTTGATCATTATCTAATGCTTCTTTGAATACTTTCTTATCTACACAGATTTAAAATTCTTACATGACTAGTACTTAGTTACCTTTTGATTTCCATTTCTATCTCAAAAAAAGGAAGCATTGCACAATCTGATCATTATCTAATGTTTCTTTGAATACTTTCTTATCTACACAGATAGGGTACCTTCAGTGAATATCTAGAACCCAGACACACACTAAATTAGATCTGACAATATCAGATAGACTATAAACTAAATTGAGCTGTATTCCTTTGCAAAGAATGCAATACCTGTAAACTGATCGAGTGTACTGTCTTTTTTCAATTTTTATATTATGGAACTTCACATTAAAATCCAAAGAAAAAAGTAACACTAATGCCAATTACATATTTTTCTGCATTACAGCCATTACAGCCACAACATATGCATTCCACAATTTCACAGGATGCTCACATATGCAATTAAAAGGTCTTATATTCTATGACATGGCTGTTTTAATAGTTTGTTAACTGGCCACTCCAAGACATTGATAGAGTTTGACAAGAATTTATGGCAGCAGTAGACATTGAAACTGGTTGTGGTTTCCTGCCACATTCAGAGTAACAAATGCAAGTATGCTCTCATGTAATCTGAGAAGATCTCCTACAATTTGGGAGTTTAATAAAAACATCCACACTATTATTGGGATCCACTAAACTACAACTATGAAGAAGAAGAAGAGATTGGATTTATACCCCGCCCTTCACTTGGAGTCTCAGAGCGGCTTACAAACTCCTTTCCCTTCCCCTCCCCACAACAGACACCCTGTGAGGTGGGTGGGGCTGAGAGAACTCTGACACAAACTGCTCTTTTTCAAGGACAGCTGTGCCAGAGCTTGTGACTGACCCAAGGTCACATCAGCAGGTGCAAGTGGAGGAGTGGGGAATCAAACCTGGTTCTACCCAAATTAGAGTCCGCACACTTAACCACTACACCAAACTATGCTCATTCTGTTTATATCTACAGAGTCAGCTTGACACCATCTCACCTGTGCACATCAACGATTTTATTTGACACATTTATATCCAACTTCTTCAAAGAAAGTGAAGAACTTTTTTTAAAAAAAATAATCACATACAAAATAAAGCATAAGAATCTGTTATCTTCTCTGCCCCTCTTCTCCCACTACACCCATAAATTCAGTCTATAAGTCAAAACCCAACCTGACGGTGGGGAAAGTTACGCTTTTCTCTCCCTCAATCTATTACTAAAACTAAAGCTTTAGAACCCAGACAGGAATATTATACGCATACATTGATCCAATACACATTCACCACTTTATATGACAACTGGCCATTTG